GATTGGCCCGGTGCACATATCCAAGGGTATTGACTAGATACAACCAAGGATCTGGACAATTGGTTAACAGAGACAAGTCTGCTATCTTCTTTAGCAAGAATTGCTCTCAGGACATGAAAACAGAGGTGTGCCAGGGGCTGGATATCCATAAGGAGGCGCTAGCAGAGAAGTATCTTGGCCTCCCAACGGAATCGGGAAGGAGTCTTAGTGGCTTATTTGAATTCCTACCAGCTCAGGTGAGAAGCAAGATTGATGGTTGGTGTGGTAGAGAGGCAAGTTGTGCAGGCCGAGAAGTACTAATCAAATCAGTCGCACAAGCGGTTCCGACATATTCAATGAGCTGCTTCCTCCTACCGATCAACACATGCAAGAAAATAAAACTGCAATATCAAACTACTGGTGGGGAGTTCGGCTGACAACAGGCGCATGCACTGGATGAGTTGGGAGCGCTTTACTCGCCCAAGAACAATGGAGGAATGGGTTTTCGAGACCTTCGGTGCTTTAATTTGGCCATGCTTGGGAAACAAGGCTGGAGACTAATTACTCAGCCTGATTCGCTCTGTGCAAAAGTGCTGAAGGGCAGTATTACCATGATTCAGAGTTCATGATGGCAACCAGGAAGAAAACATGCGAGTAGTACCTGGAGGGCTATCATGGCCGGAAGAGAAGCGCTGCAAACCTGTCTAATCAAAAGAGTGGTCAATGGTAGCAATACGGAAATCTGGAGGGATAGATGGACGCAAATCATTTTGAGGGCCGACCGATCACTCCACAGGATGGTCAGAATGTGGTGACAGTAACGGAACTAATGACTGCAAGTGGCCAGTGGAATTTGCAGCTCATCAGGGACTGTTTCCTCCGGATTGATGCAGAAGCAATAGTCAGGCAACCTGTGGGCTGTGGTGAGCATGACTTCTGGGCATGGGACTTGGAAAATTCAGGAGTTTATTCAGTCAAAACTGCATATAAGCGTCTGTACAAGAACAAGATTGAGGGGGCACAACTCCAGGCGCCCAGCTCCTCCTCTGATGGTCTCTGGAAGGTGCTATGGAAGATTGAGGTCCCGCCCAAAGTGAGGGTATTCTGGTGGCGTGTTGTTCATGGCTTCCTACCAGCAAAGGGAGTGCTCTTTCGAAAACACATCGAGCCGGTCCCCTTCTGCGAAGATTGTGGAGACCAGAGGAATCCATTTACCATGTGTTACTCAGGTGTTCGGTGGCCAAGATGTTTTGGCGCCAAGTCCGGCTGGGGACAGGAATGAAGGTTCCTAACCTGAACTCGGAAACTTGGGCCACTGATCTTATATCGGGCATATGTTCTCAGCGGGATACATCAGTGCTCCTCTGTGGAATGTGGGCTCTGTGGATGATGCGAAATAAAAGACGCCATGGTGAGCAAACTATGAGCATTCAACAAGCTGTACTTTGGGCTAGAGACACGGCACACGATCTCTTGCAGCTTAGCCGGCAAATGTGTTAGAAACGATAGGCAATATAAACGACGAAGAACAGTAGATCAAACACAGAAGACACAAGATTTTTAATGTGGAAAATCCTTCCAAGGAAGAAGGGAAAAACTACGGGCACCAGCCAGCAAATCTTCACTATATCGGGTGATATTACAAACGTCGGGAATTTACAACTTTTCTTAAGATGGCTTATAGGAAGTATATATAGAGATGGAAACCCAAGCCTCCCGGCGACAGGCCTCGCTTCGCTACGTCAGAAGTTAGCCTTTATCTTATACATAACTGAATTTGGATCACAACTCAACAAAATAAAGCAGAGAACCGAGGGGCAGGAATTTCCGAAGTGGTGCCCGCCTTGCCCTGGATGGGTGAAGATCAACTCTGATGCAGCGTTTCAGGCGGTCAGCGATGTGCGTGCGATGGCCTGCATCATCCGTGACCATCAGGGTGGATTCATGGTTGCCCAAGCACGCTGGTATAACAGGGCCCTTGATGCTTGTATGATGGAGGCCCTTGCACGCCGTGATGGGCTCAGGCTGGCTCGGCAACATGGTGAACAACGAGTGATCCTGGAGACAGACTGCTTGGAGCTAGTTAATCTGTGGAAGAGAAAAGATGTCCAACGCTCCGCTGTCGACTCGGTTTTGAAGGAAATTCAGGACTTGCAGATTGCCTTTCAAGATTTTTTCTTTGTTTATGTTAATAGACGTTGTAATAATATACAACCTGTTCGGAACTCCAGCATGTGTAATAATATACAACCTGTTCGCTCATGTACTAGCTAAACAAGTTATCAATACACATCGTCTGGAGACGTGGCGTGTAACTCCAGCATGTGTAGCGGAATTGGTGATGTCAGAGGCCTCGGCCGGTTAATTCTAATGAAAGGCAATCAAGTCACAAAAAAAAAAACATCCGCAGTGACGCATCGGTGCAGCTCTTTGGCGGGCTGGTTCATATTTGGTGGATTAGGTCTGCACTCAACCCGACCCGATCACGCGAGTCTTGGTTTGAAGACTCAAACGCGCCCGGGCATGCAGACTAACACAATTACTTTGAAAATTTATCCATGACAGAGGATCAGCCTCCAATACGGTCCTAACGACACTCCACCGATGCTTCTACGTGATGATCAACATCAACTAAATATTATAACAGATAATGATCAACATCAACTAGCAGATGAGAACAAAAGTAAGTCCATTAAGATTCAACAATATCAAGCGCACCATAAGATAGAGCATGATTTTAGAAAAAAAAATATGAAAACTAGTTTCATAATTTTCCAAGCTAAAAAAATCTAACTAGATTTTAGGGTTTTTAATTGCATTATTTTTTCATGTAAAAATATTAGATAATTTTTTGAAAATTTATTTTTATATATTTTTAAAAATATTCTAGTCCCGTATGAAATCCTAAGAATCACTGTCATCCCGTATGAAATGAAGACAAAAAATTTAAAATCAGTCATGTATACATCATGACAAAGTTTTGGAGGCGGACGAGCAGGTCGTAGAACCGCAGGGGTACTCCCGGCCGGCCGGCCGGCCCTGCCGAGTCAGTGGAGCCTGGCGATGAAGTCCAGGAACAGAGAGTACACGGAGACATGACAGAGGGTGCTCGGGCTAAGGTCTTGTTTAAATCCAGGGTAAAGTTTAGGAGTGTCACATCAGGTGTCTCATGGAGTGTCACATCGGGTGTTCGGATACTAAAAAAAACAAATTACAGAATCCGTCAGTAATCCGCGAGACGAATTTATTAAGCATAATTAATCCGTCATTAGCACATGAGTTAATGTAGCACCCCATTGTCAAATCATGGACTAATTAGGCTTAAAAGATTCGTCTCATAAATTAGTCGTAAATTGTACAATTAGTTATTTTTTAGTCTATATTTAATACTCCATACATGTGTCTAAATATTTGATGGGATATGAAATAAACTTTAGGAGGAACTGAACAAGGCCCAAGGCGAGCAGGAGGCAAAGGGAGCATGTTCTTCTTAGAACTGCAGCTACACCCCGGGCTGCGTCCATGTATCCTAGAGCAAAGATTTCGTCAGGCAAGAAACCTACTCCGATGCCCTCTGCAACTAAATTGTGGATACATGTGATGAAATGTGACGACGTGACGTGCTGTTGCTTGTAACTTGTACGAGTAAGTGGCAGGCTTTCACAATGCTGTTTTTCTAGAAGTGGTAACCAAGTCTGAAAATTCTTACGTAGTAGGAGATCCATTTTTCTATCTGATGGAGTTAGACCTGTCAGGACTAAGCACAAGTGACCTTGTTGCCGGTTTTCGTTGTTGATTCAACAGAGGATAGACATCTTAATCTTAAGATTAAGAAGCGGAAAAAAAATCGAGTTCACGAGGATTTAAGCGAGAAGCCAACGAAACGTATGCCTCGGCATCCAAGATTCCTGTCGTTTCTATCAAATTGCAACTGAATTTAAGCATAGTATTACATCAGAAGTCTATACGTGGTCTGTTAACAGAAAAAAGAAACAGCGCAACTGAATTTAAGCATAGTATTACATCACAAGTCAAATTCTGGACCGTCTCAAAAAAAAAGTCAAATCCTGGACAATACTATACGTGGTCTGTTAACAGGAAAAAAAAAAACCAGCGCAGTGCCCATATTGGTTTCAGTTAACCATGGCCAGTGGAAAAACTGACATTTCTGCTAGATATGGTCTATTTTCAGTCGACTTAATTATCACCAAATCCACCTGACAAATCAACAGAAAATGTTACTAAGGTTCATGCCTAATGCCCCATTAACACTTTAACAGTCAGAAACCAAACGCTTCACTTCAGCTGATCAACCCTGAACTAACACACAAAGTACAATAATTTCATCTTCTTGCATACAAGATTGAGTATTCCCTATTAATCGATGCAGTGCAGGCGTGCAGCAGCAGGCTAGTGTTTATTCCGATAAATTCAAATGCTATCTTATTAGGAAGCCAAAAGCATGGAGCCTAGAATTCATTTCTAGGATCAGACACAAGTTTAACAAAACCTAGCTGAACAGGCACCATATCAGATCAGTGGACTGAAAATCTACAGACAAGTCAATTGAAAATCACAATCAAGAAAGCTCACGGGATTAAGGACCCAATACCATAATGACTTCATTGTCTGACAAGAATTCTCAGAATTCAGAGTACTATTAATACCCAAGGTGAAAACCACAATGCTCAGAACCAACATTATCAGGAAAACTGAAGGTCGCAAGAAATATAGAACATAAGTTGTATTTGACTAAAATTTAAGAGCTTACTAGTAGCCACTGACTTTTTATCTGAACAATCCTTCCTATGAGTAAGCAACATTCTAAACTCCAATAGCCCTTTTCAGGTTCACCATGCCGGCTGCAGATGGATAAGCCTGCTTGTTAACCCTTCCATAGTTACCATGCAAGCCTTTACTGTTACTGTCCTTCGTGTACATCAGACCAGCTTGAGCGAAGCCTGCCGCTCCTCCAGTGTAACCAGGACGTTGCAATGGCACTAAGTTCTTCTGCAACCTCCCTAATTTTGAAGGGTCCTGACTATCAGCCTTGCGTCTCGGCACTTCCTCCCGAGATTTACCGCCATATCCATCTCATTTCTCTCCGCAATGAAAGAAACGTTATCTGCCATCTGGTAGAGTAGTCTCTGCAGCCTGGTTTGCTCGGCATTCTGAAAGACAATGCTGCGTGTTGGTTGGTCCCACCTTGCATGAAGCTCCTCTTGTATCATCATCTTGCTGACAATATTTTGTGTATGTGATTCTGTCAGGTCAAACATCACAGATAGCTTGTCCAGGCTTAGAGAGCCATAGCAGGATGAATAAGAAATGAGGTAGGTTTTAAGAGCAGCTTCTTTGATCTTAAGCTTCAGCAAATCAAGAACATGCTCCATGTTCCTCCACAGCTTCCAGATCTCAAGAGAACTAATGACATCGAAAGCCTTTTGGTAGTCACCCTTCTTAAGGGCTCTCGCAGCAGCCATAACATGGCCTCTGACATTCTCTGGAGGGCCAACAAAAGTCATTCTCTCGCTGAATTCAAGAAGCCCACGGAATGTTTTGTTCACAGGTTTCCGGTTGCCATAAGGACTGGCCGCCATATTAGGCACCTCTATTAACATGGCAGAAGTGAAATATGTGGCTTCTAAAAGTTCATGGTTTATATGCATGTGGTAAGGCATCTGCCGTCTCTTCTCAAGTCTTTCCTGTAGGAATCAGTCATAAAAAACAAATTAAAACAATTATAGTAACTACTGCAGCAAGTGTAGAAATATAACAGTCCATATCAAATATGAGATGCCAAACACCCCAAAAGACAACATTTGACAAGAGATTGTTCTTGTGTCTAGAATCAAAGAACACATTCACAAACATGAACATATATATAAGTCAACCAATATTACTAAGCAGAACATGTTTTAATCTATAGGCATAGTAACCATTTGATAAATTCAATGTATCAGATGCCCCGATTTAAAGTGTCAAAACAATATGTTTAATTATCAAGCTCAACAAGTGCAAGGAGCACTCTAAAAAAACATGAGCAAGGAGAAAAACGAAAGAAATTACATGAATTAGATTGGATCATTTATATGCATAATATTTAATTTTGTTTTACAATACTCTTGTCTGCAGATAGGGCTGTATATTTGTACAAGTGTCTTGCTGTGATATGCATGGGAGACATATCTCAAGAATACACCAAGCAATCATAAATTCATAATCTACTCCTACTTATTAAACTGATGAAATTCATCCACTTGTAGGGAAAATAAAAAGGAGTTAAATAGAACTTTCAATGCACCAGGGATATGCCTGCTTCTGAATTAAATCTGCTGGTGTAGAGTTCAAAAGATGCCGACATCTACGGGAGTTATTGATTCTTTAACTAGTCAAGGAAGAAACCAGGACCTAACAGAGGCACCTCAACTCTACTGTGGGTGTGGACGAGCAGTAGCTAAAAAAAGCTGCAAGTGTAAGGTGGGCTTTTTTATTGATTACCATCCATACGAAGCGAGAAACTAGATTATTTCTGTAATTATTAGTTCATGGTGTCGATTTTATTGTTTCTTCAGGTTACCTATGGATTTGGGAGGATTTATTGAATCAATATGCAGACGATATGGTCAGTTATTGTAAATCTGGGAGAATACAACACCTTGAAGAAAAGCTAGACATGATCAGGGAGGAATTACTTTTGAAAGACATACAGATCAGCAACTTGGAATGAGAGCTACTCAAGTATTCTGAAGACCTTGAGCTACTCAAGAAATTGCCTGGAAAATTTGAAGACCATTCTAGTGCTTCTGCTTCAGAGGAGGCAACAACAAATTCAAGGCCCGACAGTACCACCAAAACTCTACTGTGGTTATAGAAGGCCAGTTGAAAAGAAGATATCAGAAAGCTAGAGGAACACAGGCGGTGGCGGTATTACATGATGCCAAACGTTAATGATGATGATAATGATAATGCTGTAGTTGAAAACAGAGGAGGCGCTGTTTGGAAGTTGGCTTTACTGCTTTTAGTTGACATTTGTGCTGAGAGTCCCAATATCATACTAATGTTACCATGAGTTAGTAGTGGATGGAGCCACTCTGAATTTAGAAAACCAATAAGCCTACTCGCAGCAACTTTTTCAGCTGCAGACAGTTTACTGTAGCGAATACTAGAAACAGCTGCAGTGAGCATGAGTAATCACACTCCTTGCTATAAATTGTAGTTTATAAGAGTGTTATAATGACATCCTGATTAGCAGTTGGTTCAACAATTGTGTAGGAGACATGTATTTGTATGCAGACTGTTATGTGCAGGCTACATGTATTTGTATGTAGACTGTTAAGTTTGTTGGGAACTTGGGATTGATGGGATAAGTCTCGTGTTGGTCTCTGTGTTTATTTGGTCTTTGTGGGGCTGCAGCATATGGTCCTTGTGGCTGCATGGTGGTCTTGCTGCCCATCAAGGACAGCATCCTTGACTGACTAGAACAGCATCTTAGCATCTAGCATCTTGGCATATGCTTGGCTGGCTAGCAGCCTATAAATATGTATCCCCAACCCCTCAGGTTGGTATGCATTTGTGTGAGAAATAAACTAGAAAATTGCCCGAACTCCTAGTGTCATCTCTCTCGATGAGAGTAAGAATTCTGCTACTACCAAGGGTAAGAATTCAGCGACTAACAACCCTGGGTATCGAGTCAGACTATCCTATAGCTTTGAGCATCTTCGCTCATCTCCTTTCCCACCCGAATAGCCCCCACCGAGCAAAGAAGCAGCTCTAGCCGCTCCTCGCTCACTCCTCTCCCCACGCAGACGGCTCGTTCAGGCAGCCCTCTCCCACGCAGCAGCCCCCAGTAGCGCGTCATGTCCCAGACGAGTCTCGGCCTTCGTCGCCTCGAGCACGCGCGACGTCGGCGAGGAGGCCGAACTTGCCGCATGATAGAGGAACGCGAGCGATCGGGCGGCGAGAGACGCTCGCGGCGGCGACGATAAAGGCGCCGAGGTCGACAATGGCAGAGCGGCAGCAAGCAGCAGAGCGAGGCGGAAGCGGCGGCGGCGGCGGATGCAACGCGTCGGCGGCAGCGAAGGTTGAGGTTCTACACGGCGGCATCAGCAGCTCCATTTTCTGCCGACGACAACGGCAGCGGCCGACATGAACCTCGAGCTTTGTGGAGGAGGAAGGCGAAAGCGCTGGCGGCGCAAGAGGGGAAGCGCGCGACGCCCACCCAGCGCGGGCGGCAGCCTGTGACAGCGGCTGGATGCGCCGCTGCGGCGCCCTAGAGGAGGCGCGCGCGGCGGTGGCGCTCCTAGAGGAGGCGCGCGACAAAGAATAAAGGGGCGGGGTCGATGGAGAGCGCGGCCTTCACAGCAGCGTGGCTCTCTCCCGGATCCGTACCATGGTTACCACGGGCTCCAAGCTGTTGTCGGGGACGTCGGCCCGGCGGTGGGTGGCCTACCCTCACTAAGACCAACTCACGCCGAGTGGGCTGCGGTGATGAGGGTAAAGCTCTGGTGCGGCACACATGGGAGGGCCGTCCAGTGCGGCGACGCCGACTATGACCAGGATCGACGGGCACTGGATGCCCTCAACGCTGTAGTCCCGTCCGAGATGCAGTTCTCACTTACCAACAAGCGGACTGCCAAGGAGGCTTGGGACGCCATCGCTGCGGCATGCATCGGCAGCGACCGCGCCCGCAAGTTCACACTGCAGGCACTTCACAAGGAGTGGGAGAACCTAGCCTTCAAGCCAGGTGAGGATGTTGATGACTTTGCTCTCCGTCTCAACACTGTGTTGCAGAAGATGGTGCAGTTCGGCGATGACACCTACGGCGAGGAGAGAGCTATCGAAAAGCTCTTCCGTTGCGTCCCCGAAAAAGTACAAGCAGATGGCTCGCTCGATCGAAGTCTCGCTGGATCTCTCCACGATGTCGATCGAGGAGGCAATAGGTCGCCTCAAGGTCGTCGACAAATGATGAGCCACGATCTCTCTCGGGGCCCATCACCACTGGCGGGAATCTCCTTCTCACTCGGGAGCAGTGGGTTGCCTGCCAAGGTAACCGGAAGAAGGGGAGCCTTCTTCCATGACAAAGCGACATAAGCGTGGCAAGCTGAACAAGGCGCACAGAGACGCCTTGGTGGCGGCGCCCGGCAAGCACAAGCCGGACACGAGACAACACCGCTGAATAGCTGCGCTTTGGCCATTGGGCCAAGGATCGTCGATACCACGACGCGGCCGTGCCCACGTCGCAGACAAAGGAGGAGGAGGAGCCGCTCTGTTCATGGCACATGCAAGCATCGAGCTACCTCCAGCGGCACCGCCGCAACGGCTCTCCTACACCTTGACGCCAAAAGCACACGCCCTCCTCGGCGACGGCTCCAAGAACGACAAAGATCGACGGGTGGTGCCTCGACACCGGCGCCACCCATCACATGACCGGTCAACAGGAGTTCTTCACCGAGCTTGACTCTAGCGTCCGAGGCTCCGTCAAGTTTGGGGATGCCTCCGGCGTGGAGATCAAGGGTGTCGGCTCCGTCATCTTCACCGCCGTGTCTGGTGAGCACAGGCTGCTCACCGGAGTCTACTACATCCTCGCGTTGAGGAACTCTATCATTCGCTTGGGACAGCTGGATGAGAACGGTTCGCGCGTGGTGGTTGAGGATGGAGTCATGAGGATTTGGGATCGCCGTCGTCGCCTTCTTGCCAAGGTAACCAGAAGCGCAAATCGACTCTATGTCCTTAACGTGCAGGTGGCACAACCCCTCTGTCTTGCTGGTCGTCGGGACCACGAAGCGTGGTAGTGGCACGAGCGCTTCGGGCACCTTCACTTCGAGGCCTTGAAGCGGCTCAGTGCCGCGGAGATGGTGTGAGGCCTGCCGTGCCTCGACCATGTGGAGTAGCTCTGCGACGCCCCGCTTGTTGACGAAGCGAGGTGACTCCTTTCCCAATGAGGCGAGCTTTCGAGCCAAGGAGAGGCTCGAGCTTGTGCATGGGGACTTGTGTGCCCGGTGACACCAGCCACACGGGAGGACGACGCTACTTCCTGCTGCTCGTTGGCGACCTCTCCCGCTACATGTGGGTGATGGTCCTCGGCAAAGCAAGGAGAGCTCATGGACGCCATCGGCTGCTGCAAGCTGTCAAGGAGGAGGCGGAGTGCGGCCGCAAAGCTGCTGCGCGTCGCGACCGACAACGGCAGCGGGAATTCACGGCGGCTAAATTCGCGTCGTCATCTTGCGCCGATAAGGGCATTCAGCGCCACTACTCCGCTACCGTCTGACCTGCAGTGAGAACGTTGTCGTCGGCGGCGCAACCAGACGGTTGTGGGGATGGCTCGAGCCCTTCTCAAGCAAAGGGGATGCCGGCTGTCTTCGGGAGAGGCGGTGGTGTCGACCGTCTACATCCTCGGCCGCTCGGCGGCAAGGCGTTATACGAGGCTTGGCATAGGCGCAAGCCGGCGGTCTCCCCACTTGCGGGTCTTGGCCGCCTCGCGTTCGCCAAGGAGTTTGGCCACATCAGCATGCTCGACGACAGGAGCACTCCGGGAGTGTTCATCGGCTACGCGGAGGGCTCGAAGGCCTACCGCATCCTCGACCCGAAGACACAGCGT